CAAAAGTAACGAACAACGAAATAAAATTTCATTCATTCTCTCTCGCTCTTCAGGCATTAATTGTGTCTCCTTACTTCGCAAAACGAAACGCGATATTGTGAAAGGTAAGAATCAATACCTATTTCAATGATTCATTAAAAAGATGAGTACATTGACGTCAAAAGATATATGATACTTTAAGCTAAGAAATTTCGTTCGTAATAAATGAAAATACGATTAACTTCCTGAAACGGGATGAGTAATGTTTCCGTTTGATTCATACTAAAACGTTTGGTAAACTCGCTGACATTTCATTGTACACTTTCGTAAAAGAAAAGTTAAAATGTCAGATAAAATCGTCGAAAAATCTAAACAAGGAATCATTTATTTGTGACGCAAAAGAAAAAGATAAACAGAACAAGCAATGGTGTCGTTTATATTCTGCTCCTAAATGAGAAAAGAGTTTTCCATCTCCAAAACTGCCAAGAAGAGTCACAGATTAAGGTAAATGACGACAATTCGAAATAAATTAATAAGTTGATCATTTTTCCTGATATTTGATTTAATGAAATTAATATCCTCGGTAGTCCAAAAAATATTTCCCAAATGAAGCTGGATTTCCTTATATTTTTCTTAAAATGGCTGGAGAAATTAATATTAAAAGTGACCAATAACATACCGTAAAAAATCAAGACTTATTCGTCAATATCAGGAAAATTGTTTTAACAAATCAGATAAAAGTAATACCCAGCCCAACGCTTAAAAAGAAGGAGATGAGCAAGTTGCTTTTTGAATAGATAGCGACAATTAGAACCATGAAACATTAGGAAACTGTGCACAATAGAAAAACCAGATGATTTGGAGAAAGTAGAAGAAAGGAGGAGATGAAAGGGAGAAGTATAGAAGGAAAAGAAATAGTACGAGAGAAGAAGAATAAGAAGAAGAAGAAGAAGAAGAAGGAAAAGAAATAGAACAAGGAGATGGAAATGGACCACGCACACGAGGCGCACCGCAGAGAGCAATCTTGTAAACGAACGCGTGTTGTGCCCGTGGGGAGGCTCGCCCGGCTGTTGGAGAGCGGTGTCTGCTCGCATTCCTCCACTTGTTAGCAGGGAGAGGCCGGCGTGAGCGCGAACGCGGGCGCGGGCGTGTTCGTGCCTTCGGGCGCACGCTTGGCCGCTCCCGGCGCCCCACTCCCACCCCACCCCCACGCCCCGCGTGCTGCTCCGTCGCCTCCGAGCTCCGTCCACATACGAGAGCTCTTCCATCGCGACGAACGTTGGCCGGGAGTTAAAGCGCCGGGCGCTGCAGCCAGTGCGGGTTGTGGCCTGATGCCTGCGTCGTTGCAGGACTTTGCATATTTCGGTATCGTAAGAAATGGGTGGGACCGATCCATATGAGTAGAATTATAAGAGGATGGGAAACGAAGGTTTATGGCCCTGCATTGTTCCGTCATCCGACTGTATTGATTGGAAACAATTAATTAAATCGGCCGTATTTTAGAATAATCTCAAGTACGTTTTAATTACTCATTAGTTCCTGTGAGAATAATTCGTATGGGATTCAATATACTTGTCTCATGGAGCACATTACAAATTTCCTTAATTCTACATTATTTGTTCATTCATTTCAAGAATGGAAAAGGAATTTCGATAAAGTTCTTCGCAGAGGGCAGTGAGCTAGGTGGCCATATTTCATATTAAGAAAATAAACTTGAAAAAAGGAAATGTCAACTAGGAAGTTATTTAATTTTAAAAACGTCAAAAGAGCAAGCTGTCATAGGCGTGCTTTCTTTTATCAAAAAGTTTCGTTTTGATTTAAGTGTACATTATGAGTATACAACATTATTAGAACGGCGGAATGCCAAAACCGATTAAACTGTCGAAAATAGTGAATTATCTCTTTTCAGACATCATACGAATCTATTTAGCGGTTGTCTAGTTCTCAGATTGCATTAGTTTTATAATGCACATTTTTACGTCCTTTGTACGAGTATTATAGTGCAATTTGGATCCCTCGCGCATAGATAAATCAGTACTCAACGACGGGGAAAATGCAAATCGGGAAGAGAAAAATTGCAGTCGTAGACGTTCACTGCGAGAAAGCATTTCTTTCTATGCATCCCTCATCAATGGAATGGACAGCTTTTCTGTGATCACTCATGCCTGAAATATTTGACACTCAAGAATGAAGAATTTCTTAAGTTTGTCTAGAAAATTTTAAAACTTATTCCTCGAATACTAGACATCGATTTTATTTGATTCCACGATATCTCAAAACCCAGGTCACGAATACTGGTATAAAGACGTTCCCGTACCAACGTTTGGTTCAGAGAGTACAAACTTGTTCAATGTTTTGTAATTAGATAAAATTGGATTGAGAACGCTCCTATCAATACTGTAATTTGTATAATTTGGAAATCATTAAAACTTTATTATTTTCGTAATTACCCTCGGGAAACGAACTCTTTTGTTTTGCTGAGTAGCTTGCACTTTTAAAATCATTTATAAAACCAACAAGTTCAGAATGGACAAAATGTTTGCTAAATCAACTTCCGGATTATTTATAATGATAATTTTTTAAGTGCAGTAATTCGATTAGAATAAAATCATAAAAAATACAAGGTCCTTGAACTTCTAAATCACAAATAAAAAACTTCCTCCCCGGTAGCAACGCCATTCGATGACGTGCTACGCCGGCAACGCGGCACGCCTTCGTGGCGGTTCCCTCGAAGACGAAAGCGTGACGGCGCGGCGCGGCGTGGCCCAGACGGCCAGTGCAGTGCTTCACCGACCGCCATGCCGCACCTCACCTGTTGACGGCTTGGTCGCGTGGGCGGCCCCGCCCCCTCCCGCGCCCACGCCCACGCCTACGCCCCGTGCCGCACGGAAACCCACCCGAGTCAATTTCCCCGTCGTCCACTTCTACGCGTCCCAAGCCCCTTTCCCAACGAACAACGTAATATAACTTCCTTGCACTAGATACGTGACATTTATCGAAGATGGGCGTTTTTGGTTAAGTGAAGAAAATGTGTTTAGAAAATAGTATTATTTTTTGCTAGTAAAAATTTAATTAAGATTACCAGACAGCAGTTTTATGAAGTAAAAGCGCGAAATAAACGACTCCAGTCAGACTGAAGCATTTATTCGACGAAGTTTCAATCTGTTACATCTGAATTTTCTTGAGCAACGACGATATAAGGATACGCATGTCATTGACAATCATTTTTTAATTCGTAGATAAAAATATTTTGCAAAAACTTCTTTTTGTATGGCTTTACCTATCAAGAAACTACTTTAATCTCAACCAAAGGCTCATCGATTTGCCTCTTTTTATACTCATCTCGACTAATACGTAATTCTCCCAAAAAACTCCTATAAAATTGAAATTAAATCGAACCCGATATCTTCGAAAATAAAGAGGAGAAATATTGAGTTAATCAGTATATCAGCTTTATTAGATTTAAATATTGAATATCGTGAACATACGAGAAGTAAACAAAAACATAGAACTCGAGATATCAATACATTCGCGTTTTTGAAGTTCGCTTTATCAAGGTTCCTTAGCGGTGCCTTCCACAATATGACAAAAAGCACCAAAATGTCAGAAACATAATTAATTATCGTCCTCTCTACAGCAATCGAGGGACATCAAAGTTTGATCGGCCGTACAGATTGTTTTAATGTTCCGCCTTTGACGTGAAGTATTCGAATGTTTCTGTAAAAACACCGATGTTTTTTAATATCCAAGTTTTTTTGCCGACGTTTTGTTTCTGAATGAAAAAATTCCTACGATCACAATACTTTAAAAGTTTAAATATTAAATAATACGAGTAACTGATAGTATCACTGTTATTCAAGTGTTGGAACCAAAGAAACTATGTTTGCAGTAGCTTCAACTCTCTCCACCGAGATGACCTCCATGTCCTTGTATTTCCTCTTTCATAATATTTATTTCGTACATTGAGATATGGTCAAGGGGTCTGCCCATTCTTCTCGTATCCTTATTCGGTGAATTGATGAACACGAACACTGTCAAATTAAACTTTAATGCACACGAATTTAATGTTAGAGGTTACTAATCCAGACGAAGAGAGTCTATGTTGAAAGACAGCAATGTATTTTGTCGATGTTTTAATTTTGAACATCGATGTTTTGTTATCGATGTCGCCTCACTGGTTGGACGTCCTCGCAACATCTTAGCGAGCGGTTCATTCAAAATATAATTACGTTTTATATCTCTATAAATTACAAAGATAAAGTTTCAAAATTGTTCACGTACTTGAGCAAATAATAACAATAATAATAATAATAATAATAATAATAATAATAATAATGAACTTTTTTATTAATGAACAATGTGCATGCCTATGCATCTTTCCGATTGCGTTTTTTTGTTTTCGCGCTCTTCGCATATAGCTATCTGCATCTTTCCCTGGATGTTCGCCAGGGAGGCTCTGTGAGAAGGATTTACTCTATACAAACTATATTTTAAACGAGAGGTTTTTTAATTAAACTAGTAAACAAGTATTGCTTGTTGCGAAAATAACTAACTACCACTTTTAACGGGGCAAGCTATTCCAATTTATTTATGGAAGTGACAATAATATATATTTATTTCACATTGAACACTTTAATCAACATTTGTGAGAATTTGTACTCAGATGTCAGGTGAATGTTTGTCCGCATGAGAAATTGATGACCACATCACTACATGTGGTACTCTGAAGATTCAAAGAATTCTAAGTACTTGTGTGTTCCTCAAGCGTTGTATTTGTAATCAGTGACACATGTGAAATGAATGTCTTGTGTCAGTGAACTCTGCTTAAAAGATCCGGACACGTTCGTTGCCTTTCTGTGCGCCGATAGACGGCTTATTTGGGGTCAGCCAGCAGACTCATCGTAATTGATCAGCGCGAGCCCGCGTGACTACGGTCGCCCCGGCGACACACCCCACCCACGCCCACGCCCACGCCCTTCGCCCTTTCTGACGCTCGCCCTCGCCACGGCCACCTCCGGATCCCTGCATACGCCTCGTGAAACACCGCATACTTTTTCGTATTGTTTATTCTTGTTCCATTAGAGGATTTTTTGTGAGTCTTAAATTTTACATTCTGATATTTCAGAACTTGGAAGCCTTTGGCAAATTGAGGTTGATATGCTTCATTCAGTTGTTTTGAAAATATATTCATGGTTTCACTCGAACTTTGAGAAATATATAATAATTTAATAAACATAGTTAAAAAATGAAACAAAAAATGGTAAAAGCATAAGAAGCCGTAAGCCCGAAATTAGATTTATGTGCATAAGCAGATGAAGAATGGAAACCAACAGAAATATTTTTTTCCTTTTTGGACATTATTGAAAACTGTATCGATTGAAGTCTATTGATATCATTTGATATTTTGATTCAAACCATGAAGCTTTTAAGAAATATATTTATTAAGAAAAATATTTAGAACAATCTGTAATTTATCTGAAGCGCTAGGAACTGTATTTACCCATTATCGCGGTTCTCTCTGACCCCTACCATAGCACCGCCATTGCCTCTCCCTCACTCTCACTGCAGCCAAAGCCACTTGCTTGCTCGTTCCCGCCCTAAACGCAGCCATATCGAAGCCCACCCCCGCCCCGAGCACAGCTATCGTAGCCACCGCCCCAGCCCCCNCCCTCGTCAACTTCAACGCCAATGCCACAATCATAGCCACAGCGATAGCAATCGTCGGGCATCGCCTTTCGCCGCCCCCGCCCCTACACCCGGGTCGCGGTCACTCGGCAGTGGTTCGTGACAAACGCCTCCTGCCAACATGGCAGGCGGCCAGTGCCGCTCGCCCCATGCGTCTTGTTCGCTGGCAACGCGCTTCCTTTCATGGCGATTTTTGCTTTTCATTTTTCCGGAAATTATCGACGCGAAGGAGGCATTGCCTTGGGTCTGAAAGGGAAAACCAAGTTCCTCTGGGAAAAATTGTGCTATGAGCGAAAGCAACTTTTTCATAAACTTTTTGTGAGAGAAAAAACTGCTGCCTAGAAGAAAAGCAACTTTGTTGTGTTGTATAATGAATTTAGTAGTGATGCAACAAAACAAACGGATAAAAAAGGTTATCATTGAATATATTTTTGGTGGTAAAATATTTGTGTGCCTTTATCACGGTGTTGACTTCCCGTTTCCCTCGTGTAGTAATGAAATAATAAATAAGGAAGGAATGTTATCAGTGGGAGTTCAAAGATCTCTCAAGGGTCCCATTGACACCGATAAACGAGTTTAATGTGGAATTATAAAAATGAATAAGACCCCACGGATTTAAATAGTGAACAGAAACCGAGAATTCAATGGTATACAACTCTGTTATTGTTTATGGTGAAAAGTATTTTCAGTTTAGTAGTTTATGCACGTACTAGGTACTTTTAAGTAACGCAATGAGCTCACATATATCTGTCAAAAAATGCCACAGACTAGTTGCAACTTCTATGGCTCTGTGTCAGATTTGCTGAACGGAGAATTGCATTTCATACTTAATGAATTATATTCTTTCTGCTGAAACTTAAATCGTCTGGCAACTTTCACAGTCCTAACTTGAATGAATCGATAAGTAAAGGAAATGCAAAACATTGCTATACGTTAAACAAAGCTAATTTTATTACAATACATGTATCACAAACAAAAATCTCTATAAGAGCAAGCTGTTCTTAAATAGAAAAAAAAAATTAAACAAAGTAATTTCTGTAATTGTTGCTTCATATAAAAATGCGGTTTTTAATTTCAAAGATGCGGAAAAGATACGAATGTCGATAGAAATCAAATCAAATAACTGAGTTGATTAATTAGATCGCTAGTGCAGGTAGATACCTCTGTAATAATTAAATTATGGTTAATTAAAAGGTGTGTCTGTTAAAAAAAAAAACTAGTTATGAAAAATTAGACAATTCAGAAAAGCTTTTGAGTTACATCATTGCGACACTGTCATTACTACAAATCATTAATAACTTTACGCAGATATTGCTGTCGATAATCCCTGGCGAAAGCCAAAACTATAACTGATAGTAAACAACCATATGAGAATGTCAAGTACAAAATAAAGGCATGACAAGCTGTTGAAATATCCTATGTAATTGACGTCGTGTTAACTTTCCAGGTTAATCTCTTTTACGATCTTTGTAATGAGGTGATTGCACATTAGAAAAGTGAAAATGTGAATATCTACTAAATGTACTCTGGATTCCCTTTTATACGTATCTTTTCTCCTAAAAAGAAAACAGAGTCCAACTTCGGTTGATAGTGTAGCGCAGTACTTGTTTATATTATTTCCGAACTTGTCGACGAGAGAATACGACTCGCTAGAACACCGGAACATCGCCTTCTGATACGGATGTCAATAATATATCTATTTACTCTTCAAGATACGTAGTTTTCTTTGGAAAAACATAGTGTTGATATGAAAAATATCCAGGGTTGCTTTATCACAATATGTCAAAACGACATGCATGCTTGTAATTCAATGAAATCCATTCGAACCTCAGAATAATGATCAAATCATAAACAAATTATTTGTAATTGAATAACAGAACATTAATTGCTTTTATTTCAAAGTAAATCTGTTTACTATTGCCTGTCTTAGCTCAAAAGAGGCTGCTTCAAACTCCAGTCTTGATATTTAATAGCATTTTTACAGCACGGAAAACTAGATGTTACAGTGCATTTGATTTCATTTTCGCAGTTCATTTTTTGTCGCAGTTCGGAATAAAAACCGCTAAATTTTTACTCTGTTATAATTTATACAATAGATAAATTGCTGCCGCTATTGAATTTACAATAAATGAAAATATGAATATGTGAGTATTTTTAAAATTATTCCCATCTCTACCTTGGGTCGGCACCGGCGCAGTACACGCGGGAGAATAGGTCCTTCACTACTGTTAGCGCAATTAGCGGCTGCAGCGCTGTAAAGTACTCACCCGCACGTGCATATCTCGCAGACGCACTGCTCCTTGCAGGGCGCCGGCTGCTTCGGCTCCGCTTTCTTCGGCTCCTTCGTTGTGGCCTTCGTCTTTTTGTCGTCGCGGGTGGTGACGGACGACGTTTTCTCGTTGACGACCATCTCCTGCTGGCTGACGACCTTCTCGTTCACCACCTGGCTGCTGCTCGTCGCCTGTCGAGTCTCTGATGTCGCGAGTTCGACGCCTTGGCGAGTCACGGCGGTAGGTTGCTTCCTGTCCGCGTGGGTGATCGATCGGGTCACGGAGTCGGTGTTGTCGGTCAGCTGTTGATTGGTGACAAATTCCTGGTGGCTGACGTTCTCAATCACTTGCGTGCTGCTAGACACATGTTGTTGGTGGCTTTTTGAAACATGTTCTTGCACCGAAGTGGATACGTGCTCTTGAACGCTTGTCCCGCGCGGCCGTACAATTTCGGGAGAGCTGCCTGGTTCCTCTACGATGTAAGTAATCGGCTCTTCGCCGTAAAAGTTCCTGGAATCCGTGGAGTGCTGTCCGCGAGCCGTCTGCTTGTGCTGGCTCAACTGATGACTTTCAGACACCTCCTGGACGTGACTGACAGATTCGCTCTTGCTGCGCGAAACGTGCTCTTCATGTGACGTCGACTCTTTTCTGACGATGTTAGAAACGGCGTCACCGTGCGTAATGGTTTGTAAATCACCTGTAACAACTTCTGACACACCGCCCACCTGTCGGATTGTTTTGCTACTCTTCTTCACCCCCTCGTCCACTATGGTGCTGGAGGAAGAGCGGACGACTGTAACTGTTTCGGTAGAGCTGGAAACAGCCTCCTTCTTGCTGGAACTGGAGATCTGGGATGTCGATGAGACGCTCACCAGTTTTCCTCCTCGCAGCACTTTCCCGCCAGGTACGACAGTTGTCATCGTGGTTGGTTGACTTCCGTCCGGCGCCTTCCCTTGGTCGATGATTACAGTTTCTGTAGTGCTGGTGGGTGTTGTCTGCTGAGGTTTTTTCTTACCCTTCGTAGGTTGTGAAGAAGGGGACACGGTAACCAACTTTCCTCCTCGAAGCACTTTCTCACCGGGGCTAGTAGTTGACGGTGATTTAGCCGGCCGGCCAGAATCTTTTCCGTCAGTAGTTGTCACCACTGTTTCCCTTACTCCCAATGCAGCATCTTTCCTGTCGCTGGTTGTGATTTCTGAGGATGATACTTCAACAAATTTCCCTCCCTGGAGAACTTCGTCTTTTTTAGAAACTGTTGTCGATCCACCGGAGGTTCGGCCGACTTCTTTGCCGTCTACGTATGTTATCACAGTTTCTGATGATCCGGAAACTGATTCTTTCTTCTTCTTACCGGTGACTTCGTTAGATGACCCTGACACTTCCACTAACTTTCCTCCTCGAAGGACCTTCTCACTTTGAGCGACAGTGGTAGATCCACCGGATGTTCGGCCGACTTCTTTTCCATCTACGAACGTTATAATTGTTTCCGTTGTTCCAGATGTTGAATGCTTCTTGCTGGAACTCGCAGTTTGAGAAGTAGATGTTGATGTAACGTCAACTAATTTCCCCCCGCGTAGGACCTTTTCATTGCCTGAAACAACGGATGTAGAATCACCAGTTGTTCGACCCGCTTCCTTCCCGTCCACGTAGGTTATGATTGTTTCTGTTCCTCCGGTTATTGACTCGTTCTTTCTGCTTCGTGCTACGTCTGAAGACGAGGACGACACTTCCACTAATTTCCCTCCTCGGAGAACTTTGTCTGCCTGTGCAACGGTTGTGGTTCCTCCAGTTGTCCGCCCAACTTCCTTTCCGTCCACGTAGGTTATGATTGTTTCAGATATTCCGGACACAGACTCCCTTTTCTGAGTACTCGCTGATTCGGACACCGACGATTGTTCCTCTACGACGGTTACAGTCTCTGTCGTGTCTGACACCGATTGCTTCTTTGTGCTGCCATCTGTTCCTGGAGACACATGAACTAATTTCCCACCGCGAAGCACCTTTTCATTCTGCACAATTTGCGAAGTGGTTCCGACAGATTGCACAGAGTCTTTTCCTTCTATGATTGTCACTGTCTCCGACACGCTTGTAGTTGCCTGTTGTTGAGAGCTGCTGCTGGCAAGATGCGATGAGGACGACACTTCAACTACGTCTCCCCCCTGGAGAATATTATCAATCACGACAGACGTTGATATATCTCCGTCTGGACCGATATCTATTTCTTCAAAAACCGTGACTGTGTCGGTGGGACCAGGTACTCCCTTTTGTTTTTTGTTGCTGGCGGTTGCCTTCGAAGGCGAGGGCGACACATAAACTAATTTCCCGCCGCGAAGAACTTTTTCACCTTTCACACCGGTTGTTGTCACGCCACCTGTTTGATTCTTACCTTCCGCAACTGTCACGGTCGACGTCGACTGGGACCTGGCGCCGTTAGATGCCTCGTTCAGCAGGAATTCTTGCGCGAGCTGTTTTCTGCTTTTGCCGGTCACATCTGTGGTTCGCCCCGTGAACGTGAGCACTTCCGTCCCGCCGGTCACGACCGTGCTGGAGGAGAAGGACTCTTTCTTGCTGCTGGACTTTTTGGAGGTGGAGGCCTGGCTGACGGACTCGACGACGGTGGTACTGACGGCGCCGTCGGCCGGCAGGACGACGGCCGCGCCGTTAGCCACCGCGCCCGACGACGTCCGGCGAACACTGGTGGCGCCGTCGGCCGCGTGTTCGGCCGACGACCAATCTTCGATCACGTGCAGTGCGCCGTTGCTGGCGCCTTCGATCGCCTGCGCGGAGGCCGCCTCGGACACCACCTGTTGTCTGCTGGACTTGCTGCTGCTGACGCTGGACGTGGACGACGACTTGGTGACGGTCGCCGTCGATTGCCTCTTCGCGGATTCCGTGGTCGCGGTCGTCGCCTTCGACGTCGAAGCCACCGCCGTGTCTTTCGCTGCTTTCGCTCCTTTCCCCTTGCCGCCCTTGGCGGAGTCTTTCTTGGTCACCGTCATCTCGACGACGCGAACGCGGCTCGGCGTCGCCGCCGCTTGGTACTCGAGGAACTGCCGCACTGACGCGCCTCCGTGCGGGAAGGCGCCGTCTTGAGAATGGAAAGGTTCGCCGTCGCCGGCCGTCGGCCGGCGATCGGCCGCGACGCGCCTGCCGCACCTCCCGCCGCCGACACCCGCCCATCCCGCCTCGCGCGCCGGCGCCGCTGCCAATACAGCGCGGCGCGCGACGGCGTAACAAACGGGCCGAACGGGAGCGGCGGGCGGCTCGCGGAGCGCGATTGCAATAATATAGCTGACCGGAGAGAGGCGGATACGTCAAAGTACCTACATACAAACCACGCGCGTTCGCATCGCGGTCGCCGACGACGTGTCGCCCGGTTTGGCATAACCGACGCAGCCGGCGCTACGGCGGGCGCTGCGGCGCAGGACACCAAGAGTGGAGGACGCGGACGTCATCGCCAACGACAGTCACGCCGCGATGGAGACTTCGAGAACGCGCGGGCGCGAGCGAAGGGCGCGAGCGGAGGCGAGGGCCGAGGCGGGGCCGGGGGCGGCCGAGGCGCTGCGAGGACCCCGAGGCCGCCAAGCCCCCTCGCCCGGCGACAGCATCGATTTCGCTGCGAATTAGACCGGCGGCACAGCGCGGTTGCGGCCGGGTGGGTTCTAGATGCGTCTAGTGGCCGTGTCAGCTGTTCGGCCGCTTAGTAGCTGCCGCTGTCGTGGGCGATCGGCAATCTGTGGGGGGTGGGTAGCACGTAACAGATGCGATGACAGATCAGGTTTCGGTGAAAACGTTTGACGGCACGGGTAACTATCAGTTCTAGAAGTATCGACCGATCTGAGAAATCGCTCCAAGTCCGCTAATTAGTGTTTCCGAGCGACGCAGACAGATGTGATCGCTTGAGAGATGCTCCTAATAGAGAAATCTTTCTCATTTTGGTGATTGTAACTTTATCACTTACTATTTGTCGTCAGTTTGAGAAAGTTCATAAGTTGCCACGATGGTAAATTCACCAAAACAGGAGATCATCCATCTGAAACCGGAAATGCAACTTGTCTCATATTTCGGTCAATTGTTTCTCAAACTACGGTAATTCCATTACCGAAATCACTGGTGCAAGAACTCCCGACACGACACGCCATTCGAAAGTCAAAAACGTCACTGCCGGGTGGTCGTAAGCCGCGATGCACAGGCGCAAAACATGCTCACATGACGACACTCGCTCTGTGCGGCTTGCGAGGCGGACAGCTCGTCAGCCGGGACTCGTCGCCCGCGGGGCCCTCGGGGCTGTGAGAGGCGGCCGGTGCACGACAGTGGCGTGGCGCTGCGGCGCGCCGGGCTGTGCCGTTCGTTCCCAGCGATCGAAACGGGCGGCGGCGGCGGCGCCTGCAAAACACGCGTCGCCCCGCGACGAGCGCCCTCCCACGCGCGCGCCCTTGAACTACATTCGCCGGTAGCGCCGCGCCCCCTCCCCCCCCCCCCGCGCGGTACCTGTGCTTTGCCGCTCCCGCGCACGCCGGCCCGCACGCCCCGCCCCGGCGCCTGCTTTGCGAAAGCCACCCTCCGCGCTCGCGTGTAAAATGCAGGGGGCCTCTGCAAACGCAAACACTCTTAGCTCAAATTCCTCTAACTTTTATACCTCGAATCTTTTAAAATCGAACCTCGATAACTCAAAACTTGATAACTCAAAACTTGATATCTCAAAACTTGATAACTCGAAATTTGATAGTTTGAAACTTGATTACTCCAATCTCGATGACTCGAATCTCGATGTCAGGAAGTTTGAAACTAACATTAATTAATGGAATCGTAACAAACTATACACTAATAAATCGAACCTTGACAAATCGTTCATTGATTAATACTCAAATCTTGATAACTCAAATTCCTTAATTCGATATTTTTTCATTTCCCAAAATGAAATTCTCTCTATCTTTGTAAACTACACAAAGGGACGATTCTTGAGTTTACAGTTGTATAGTTAAGAATCACACAACTCGCCGACTGAAACGTCGGATTTTCATGTTTTTTTTCATTCGCAATGTACCAAGTAATCTCGAGAAAAATCCCTTTTCAATTTTCATTTCTCTCCCAACACACTCTGTGTTAATGCTCCTTAATACGTAGTATATTATGAAAGAAAAAACTGGGTAACATTGTTGCTGTTTTCAGGCGGTGCCTTTGAATCTCTCGAGCGCCGTTTTTTTTACCACACGTATGTTGGCCCATTTCTACTTTTCCGAGCACCTCGTGGAATTTGTATATTGATTTCGATATACGAAGTTAATGTTGAATATTCTCCGCATACCATCATTATTTAAAAAGAAACTCCTTCATGAAAGAACCTTTGCTTTTAAGAAGCGACTTAATTTAGTATGACTTTAACATTCTTCTTTTGAAATACATTTTTCCGATTTATTATTATTCTTATTAATAATAATAATAATAATAATAATAATAATAATAATAATAATAATAATAATAATAGTAGTAATAGTAATAATAGTAGTAATAGTAATAATAGTAATAATAGTAATAATAGTAATAATAGTAATACTAATAATAATAATAATGGAACTTCTTTTTTGTATCTAAGAGACGATTGAGCCATCCTGTACTGTATTAAATTAGTTTTAGAAACAGTTACTTAACATTAAAATGTTTGATGCATGTTCGAGCTCGTAAACAGAGCCCAGGCTTCCTTTTCATTGTCTGCTGTATGCTTAAAACGTACCTCGAGTTTCATATTAATTGGAGCATGCTCACCGATTAGTTCTTTGGATGAATTTCCTCGCAGGAGCCCCACAATGTGCTTGCAATTAGGAGGAAAGACAATCAATAACTCATTCTTTTATCTATGTGGATCATCGGTGCTCGTCGTAGAAGACCAGTAGATCCATAAAGGCTTCCTGTCCTGCACCCAATCCTGCTCAAAAGCATTGCATTCATTTCGAGAGTTAAACTAAGATGCTTGTGTTAATCTTCCTTCTCTAACATAGACTTAATTTATCGATATCATTGCCTTTTCTAATTATTACCTTTACCTCTCCTTTTTACCTTCTTAAGATTGAATGCATTCGGTTCCTTAATTCCACGATATGTATTGAAATGTTTTATCACACTCTTGCAGTATCATCGATATCTTTTAAATGGATCATATGATCTGTCATTGCTTTAGACCCCTTGAATGGCATATAATATTTCTTGGATTGAGTTTTTAGTTGTTATTATGAAAGACATTCGTCACAAATTCTAATGATTAGAACAGAGGAGAGAGATAGAGAGGAAGAGGGAGGAAGGGAGAGAGCCAGCGAACGACAAAGAATGAGAATGAGAAATAGCGAGCGATAGAGAGAAAGAGAGCGAGAGAGAGAAAGAAAGAGAGAGCGAGCGAGAGAGAGAGGAGAGAGAGAGTTGAGAGACCGATTTAATGAGACATTGTGATGGGATATTGTTAGGAGTTCGAATTCTAACCTTCCCTCATCCAGAGAAGTTGGCAGCCCTGTTTCCCCCAGCGGCTCCACCTGTCGCTAACCTCTCCCGCGTGGCGTGGCGCGGCGTCGCATTTCGAGCGCTCACCTGCTGGAGCGGCGGCGGCGCGGGTGTGTGTGCGTGAGCGATCGCGTTTCTCGGGCGATCGCGGCCACCGAGTCGGAAAATCTCCGGGAGCGGCCGGGTGCGGCGGGCGCGGAGAGGAGCGCACCGCTCTCGAGTGCGTGGGCGACGCGCCGAGCGTTCTGAGGGCCACTGCCATGCGTCCCGCGCTCGTGCGCGTGTGGGTGGACAGGGCCCGGAAGGAACTGCGCTCCGTGCATACGCGTACGCGTGGAGAGTTGATGTGGTGAACTCTCACTCTTGCTCTCACTCTCTTTCTGTCTCTTTACATTTGTATTTTTCTCTCCAGTCTTTCTCTGACCATGTACCACGTCCTCTGTCTCTCGTCTAACTGCTCTCTCTCCTTCATCTTCTGCTCATACATCTCCATCGCTCCTCCTCTCTCCTCGCCTCTCTCCTCTACTGTCTCTTTCCTGCCCAAACTCCCTCTCGATCTGCCTCATCTCCTCTGCACCTCCTCATCTCTGCCCCTCTTCTCATGCCGCTCTCTCTGCTCTCCTCTCTGCCTCCTCTCTTCATGCCTCATACTACTGCCTCTCTCCTCCTGCCTCTCTTCTCTGCCCCTCTCCTCATCTGCCTTTCTCGTTCTCTCTGACTCTCTCTCATCTGCCTCTACTCTCTCTGCCTCCTCTCGCTCTCCTCTCTCTCCTCTCTCTGGCCTCTGCGTCTCTCCTCCTCTCTCTTGCCTCTATCTCTCTGCCTCTCTCTCTTCTGCCCTTCTCTGCTCTCTTCTTCTCTGCTCTCTATGCCTCTCTCTCTCTAGCTCCTGTGCTCTGTCTCTGCTCTCGCTCTCTCTCTCTGCCTCTATAGTCAGGCTGTACGTCCAGCTTCACAAATTTGGTATGGTGGGTCATATGCGAATGGGAGATTACTTTTTCTCGGGATTACAAGAGTCAAATTTTAAAAAGCTATGCTGAATCTTATTTCTCTGTTACATCACGGTTGCGATAGCGAAACTCGATGGCAGGTTATATGTGGGTGTTCGTGTTTAAATCTCATACTCATAAACTGGTTGGCGTAAAAAGGGCAAGGTTATCGAAGTAGTTCAACTCTTGTGAACTGTTTCATGGGTAGTTTCTGAATAAATAATTCCTCGTGCATTTTTCCTGTTGTTCTTGTGTGTTTTACGTAAACATTTAGTATGTGATGTTCCCTTTACTACAACAGACTAGTACTTACTTACAACCAGAGGCGCTCAGAAGGAGGGGGGAGCAGCTGGAGCATCGTGTCCCAGGCCCCGACTTCATTAGGACCGGAATGTTTCCTTTTCTTATTCGAAATATAAAAATGTACTTCTAATTTTTAAAAAGTCGTCATAAGATATTTTGTTTTGTACGGAGAAATAAATTATTTTTATGTACAGAGGGTTGGGGATTTTCTTTCAAACAAGGGGCCCCCGAGAAACCTTGTCTCCTCCTGTCTTACTAAGTTCCATGTTTCCTCTGGATGTCTTACTTACAACCATTAATTCTTGTTCCATAAAACTATCTCCACAAAATTATAGTTGATCCTTTACATTTGTTTTGCTTGTAAATTATATTATTGATTGTATACGCAACTATTTGAAATAATAATTAAACCACGATTGAAAATCCTCACTATTACAGTGATTAAGAGAGAAACTCGCCAAAACTGGGACCTATACCATTTTAAAAGCTTATTTTGCTAAGAGAAAAAGTTAAAATCCTTTCCATTTTTAAGAAAATATTGTTTTAAAGGATGCATTTATTTTACGCAGTTATGTGAAATTTTCTCACAATTTCGAAAAATTGAACATGATCTTATTTCAATATATGTCTTGGAACCACAGATTTCATTAATGAAAAATCTCCATCATCAT